TTTTCTGTGTTGAACCATCCTTGCATTCCAGGAATCAATCCATCTTGGTCGTATCTAATCCTTTAAATATGTGCCTGTATTAGGTTTGCTAGCATTTATTGAAGATTTTTGTCAGTATTCATAAGGCATATTGGTCTGTAAGTTTTGTTTCTTGTAGCATCTTTCTCTGACTTTCGTATCAGGGTAATGCTGGCCTCATTGAATGACTTAGGAAGTGTTCTCTCCTCTCCTCTCCAGATTTTAGAAGAGTAAGAGTTAAATATTTGGTAGAATTCACCATTGAAGCATCTAGTCCAGGGCTTTTCTTTATTGGGAGGCTTTTGATTACTGACTCAGTCTCCTTAGTACTTGTAAGTCTATTCAGGTTGTCTATTTTTTCATGATTTGGTTTTGGTATAGTGTGTGTTTTTAAGAATTTTTCCATTTCATGGGCACCTGGCTGGCTCAGTTGGTGGAGTATGCAACTCTTGATCTTGGGGTTGTGAGTTCAGGCCCCACACTGGGTATAGAGATTACTTAAAATCTTTTTTTTCATTTCCATTTCAATTTGTTTGTATATAATTGTCCCTAGTATTCTCTTATAATCCTCTTTTATTTCTGTAAAGTTGGAAGTAATAGATCTATGATTGTAGTAATTTGAGTCCTTTTTTCTTAATCTAGCTCAAAGTTTGTCAATTCTATTAATCTTTTTAAAGAACCAGGTTTTCGTTTTCTTGATTTTTCCCATGTTTTTCTATCCTTTTATCTCCACTCTAATCTTTATAATCTCCTTCCTTCCATTAGCTTTGTGTTTAGTTTTCTCTTTTTCATGTTCCTTGAAGTATAGTATTAGGTTACTGATAGAGATCTTCTTTTTTAAATTCTGTATCTACAGCTATAAATTTCCCTCTTAGCATTGCATTAACTTTTGGTTTATTGTGTTTGTTTTCATTTTTCTAAGTGTTTTCTAATTTCTGTTAAGATTTCAACTCATTGGTTAATTTCTATGTGAATTTTCCAGTTTTCCTTCTGTTACTGATTTCTACTTCAGTTCTGTTGTGATTGGAAAAGATACTTTGTATGATTTTTAAATTTAAGACTAGTTTTGTGGCCTAACATGGTTCATCCTGGAGAATGTTCCATGCACACTTGAGAAAAATGTCTATTCTGCTGTTGTTGGGTGTTTGACATATGTATTAGGTCCACTTAGTTTTTCTCCCCCCTTATAATTTAAGTAACTTCTACACCCAACACGGGGCATAAACTCATGACCCCAAGACCAAGAGTCGTGTGCTCTAAAATCCCCTTGGATTTTAGTATTCTTTAGGTCCTCTTCTTTCTGGTCGTTCTACCCATTATTGAAAGTGGGGTATGGAAGGCTCCAACTATTGTTGTAGAACTGCTTATTTTTCCCTTCAGTTCTTTCAGTTTTGGCTATCTCTTGGGGGCTCAGATATTTGGTGTATTAAGTGTCTACAGATACTGTTTTTACAAATTGAAGTTTTGTGGCAATCCTGTGTTAGGTAAATACATCACTGCCATTTTTCCAACAGCATTTACCCAGTTCATGTTTCTGTCACATTTTGGTAATGCTCCCATTTTAAACGTTCTCCTTACATTTGTTATGGTGATCTGTGATTACAACTTGCAAAAAGCTGATAATGGTTAGTGATTTTTAGCAGTATTTTTCATGTATATACACTATTTTTTTTATACATGCTGTTGTACACTTTAATAGACTACAGTATAGGGGCACCTGAAGTCGGTTAAGCATCTGACTTCAGCTCGGGTCATGATCTCACGGTTGGTGAGTTTGAGCCCCGTGAGTTTGCGCTCAGAGCCTGGAGCCTGCTTTGGATTCTGTGTCTCCCTCTCTCTCTGCCCCACCCCACTCACGCTCTCTCAAAAATAAAACATACACATTTTTTAAAAATAGAAATAGACTACAGTGTAAATGTAAACATAACTTTTACATGCAGTGGGAAACCAAAAACTCATTTGACTTGCTTTATTGCAGTTGTCTAGAACACAGTGTCTCCAAGGTATGCCTGCAATTGCTATTTCTTGATAACTTGACCTTTTAATTGATGTAGTATCTTTGTCTCATAACAGATGTTGACTGATAGCCTATTTTGTCTGATATTAGTATAACCACTCCAGCTCTCATTAATGTATGCATGGAATATTTTCTTCTATCCTGTCACTTTCAACTTTTTTGTGTATTTAAAGTGAGTCTCTTGTAGACAGCATATAGTTTGATCTTTTTTTTTTTAATCCATTCTGCCAGTCTCCTTTGATGGGAGAGTTCAGTGCCTTTATAATTAATTACTGATAAGTTTTCTGTATGTCTTAGAGCATTTTTTTGTCTTTCATTCCCTCATTACTGCCTTCTTTTGTGTTTGGTGTTTTGGTAGTGGCATATTTTAATTTCTAATTTTGATATGAGACAGTAGGAAGGATATTGAAAATGACTTCTAAAGACTGGTTCTAACCAGACCATTCAGAGGAAGATCTAATAGGCTCCCTCTAAACCATTCATCTTAGTGAGGCACCTGGGTGGTTCAGTCAGTTAAGCATCCAACTTCGGCTCAGGTTGTAATCTCCTGGTTCATGAGGTCAAGCCCACATCGGGCTCTCTGCTGTCAGTGCAGAGCCTGCTTCGGATCCTGTGTACCCTGCCCCCTCTCTGCCCCTCCCCAGCTCACGTTCGATTTCTCTCAAAAGTTAAAAATTAAAAATAAAGAGTCTTAGGGCTCTCCGTGTTCTCCCTGCACTACCTTCTCAGGGACGGGGAGCAAGCAGTGATAGGTCCTGTCCTCAGTGATCATCTCCGTGAGTTCACGGTTTTAAGAGGACTAAGCCCCTCCCCAGATCTTCTGCAGAACATGGCCTGGCCCAAATTACAGTCAACACACTGCTTTCTCACTCTTCATTGCCTCTGTACCTGTTAGAGAGCTCTCCATCACTTAACTATGTGCTTCCTCCTCCACCAGCAATTACGTTTCAGTTTCTTTTGGTTCTGATACCTCATATAAAAGATAGGAGAAAGATACAGCAGAGGAACAGAGTCAGTGGTCCTGTACTAGCATCATATGGTGACAGATGGTAGCTCCACTTGTGAGCATGGTAATACAGTTGTGGAATGATGATGTACGTCTGAAACTAATGGATCGTCGTGTGTCAACTATGCTTCCATTTTATGTATGTAAAAATAAACATCAGGGCTCACTAGCCAGCCCCACATTAGAAATTATCAAGTCCAGGTTTTAGTGACTTGTCATTTTGATCATCACAAAACATACCTTAATTCTCACAAATTGTTAGGTTTCACTGCCATCTTCTGTATTTACCTTGTAGATTTGGGGAGGGCGGTTATCTCTTTAGTAACAGATCCCTAGGGAAAAAATAGGTTTGTAAACCCCTCCTTCTCTCTGCTTCTCCCAGGTGCATCATTTCTGGCATGGCCTCAGGAAGCATCGTTCTGTTTTACAACGACTTTAACCGGTGGCATCACGAATACCAAACCCGCTACTGACGGTGACAGCTTTATCCACCCCGCCCTCAGCCGAGGCAGGGAAAGGAATGGGCAGCATCTTTCTCTTAGAAATAGCTATCACATCTGAATGTAACTTAAATTTGCTCGAAGAAGCAAAATATTTTTTAAAGTTAATTGCTATTTTTGTAGACTTTGCTTGACTTTTTTGGGGGGGAATAGCAAAGCAGAAAATTGGCTGCTGGGTTCTGTAGTTTAAAAAAATCTATATTTTTAGTCATAATGAGAAGTCTATTTTCACCAATTATGGAAACATATCCAGTGGAGCAAGTAAACCCACTTATTCTAGCTATATTATGAAAAAACACTTCCCCTTTATCTGTAATCTTGAGAAATACATGATTTTAAGAAATAGGGTAATGGGTATAGGGAATTTTATGCTGTACTTTGGGTCCTGTATTTTTCCAAGCAATTGTGCTTCTTCAGCACTGAAATTTCTGGGATTTACATAGTAATGTTTAAATTATGGTAAATGTAATTTAAAGCATCTCAGTGAATTATTTCTATCAATATTATTCTTCAGGCATGCTTTAGACCTAGAAAATTATGGTTTGGGGGAGGCTATTTTATTTTGTGTGTTTAACAAAAAGGGTCTCATGTTCTAGCAAGTGTGAAGTATTTACAATGTTTTTTATTTACAATTTTTTCCCGATACGTCATCTTCATAGTACACCAAAATGACAGGATGGGAATGCTCGTGGGCTCACAACTTTTGCTTTTCTTCTGAAGTAAACGCAGGTACCAAAGCTCACCCCTAAGGTTTGACCGTGCCCACTCACTGAGGCAGAGCCATCAGCGAGAGCTCCCCTCCCCCACCCCAGTCTGAGCACAGAGGCCACCAGGTGCTGTATTAAGCAACACCCATTTCACCTTCTATTTGTTACTGAATATCTTCACCTTCCTTTGAGTAGCAATTTGTACCGAGAAACATGTTATTCTGGTGTATAATTCTACTTTTCTAGTAGATTGATGTGTGGAATTCTGTGAAAAATATTTGAGAAAAGGTCTGTATTGCATAAATAAATTCTTTGTAAGTTGTGAACTTTGAGTTGAAACCGACATTCCATCTCTATTTCCCTTGCAGCTTACCTAAAGGGGTCCCTTCCTATTTCCCAACACTCAGCTCTTCGCTAAAAGCAGAGATTTGGAATGGAACAACTCAGTTTGACAGAAAAAATAAAATGGCATTTGTAATTGAATTTTTGGAAAATACTATCTTTTCACTTCTACTTTAAAACAAGGATAATTCTTTGCAAAAAAAAAAAAAAAAAAAAAAAAAAAAAAAAAAAAAAAAACCAAAAACTGGTTCAGCCCCAGGTTTTGAACCATAACCAATAAGAGACACTGTTGAATGAAAACAGGAACATGGGCCTTCTTTGGCTCCCTCTCACCAAGACTTCGCTGATGAAAACACTAGATCTATATCTAAGATTCACCACTGTTTTATAAACCATTAAGAAAGAAAGAAACAAAAGTCAAATGTGAGTACATCATAGGTCAAAGAAATATGCAAGTTACAGGTAAATTAATTAAGCATCCTCACTGCCATTACCCTCTGATATTATACTTTAGAAACTTTAGAGAAAATGGTAGGAGAAAATCAGGAATACCTAAGTCCTTATGCCAAGCATTTGATACCTCAACTACCCTATTTTTATAAGCTTAAAGCAAAGTGAATAAAGCAGCTTCCTCTTGGAATCTAAGAGGAAAATTGGTGCCTCCACTGCTTTTAAAACTTACAACTCTGGAAAAGTAACAGAAACACAAAGTAATACAGAAGCATGGCAACATGTATCACTTCTGTGTTCCTTTACTCAAACCTAGTTCATGTCAACATAAGGGTTGCTTAATGACAATCTGTTTACCATATTTGGATTTATTCAGCATTCACCTACTTTATCCAGTATTAACTACTTTTTAAAGAAACCATATAAATTTAAACCAATTAGGAGAAAAAGTCAAAGTTCAGGTGGTTTGCGATGAAAGTGGATGCCCTACAACAGACAGGAAGCGTGGTAAGACATTCCGTACATGGACGTGGTTCAAAGTGTGGGGTGTTCAGTTTACATACGGTGATTTACAGCTCCTTTTAAAGTGCACTGCCTCAAGAAATTCAGATTTTCCTCCCTGATAGTATTGATTCTTACCAAAAAGTCACCAATCAAGTCCTTGAGGCTCTGTAATTTAAGAAACAGCACTAGGTCTCTGAGAGAAAGTGTACGGGCTTAGCGAATATAGGACATGAAAACTTGACAAGCACAGATACATGCTGATGAATGATTCACTCTTAGATGAGAATCTTATCCCCCAGAGTACACCAGACATCCATAAATAAATCTCATTAATTCAATAAAAAGGAATGATCTTGCCCCCTGAAATGACATCACACTTTAGTTCTACTTAGCATATAGGACATGAAGATTCAAAGTACCCTGCACAGGAACCCCAAGAAGCTGCATGTAGGACGTGAGGTAACATGGAACCTGGGCTCCCCTTTTCCGTTCAGATCCGACAGCAGAGCCCAGGGGCCTGACCATGCACACCTGGTGCCATGTGGCCCCCTCCTCCACCATGCTGGCAGATGGGGTGTGGGTCAAGTTTGCAGGTGATGGCTGGGAATCCCAGGAACAGCCAGACAGCACATCCACTTTGTACTCTTTTCAGCAACTAGAATTCAATTAAGTTAGCATGCGACAGATCTACCAAGATAGGAATTTTAGGAGAGAGATTTTTCACTAGGTATCTGTGACATGTTTTTACTGGATATGATTTCAAGAGCTCCTGGCCATACAAATCACGGGCCTGGTTTGGTCCTTCTTACTGCATCAGTCCTGCCCCTGCTCCACCCCCCATCACTATGAAAGAACACAGCAGACCAAGGATACAGAATCCTTCTGCAACGACACAGTATGAAGGATCCCACCACTGAGCTTGGTGGAGAAGGTCTGCCGGTTTCTCGTATGCGTTATAGATCGTGGAGTAGCAGCCAGCCCCCCAGCCTCACGCCATCATGTGACATCACATTAGGACAAAGCATGTTCACAAATAAAAGAGGAGGAGGACAGGACGTAAATCCCGAAATCTGCACAACGCATGTGTATCAGCAAATATGCCAGGGCCCCAAACTTGGCTATTCTGCCCCACTGCTGGGCAAAGAGTTATCTACTTCAGTTAGGAGAGCTACCAGCCTAGCTACTGCCCCTTGTTTGTAACATAAGGAAGCTGGGAAGTTTCACAACTTCCTAAACTAAAAAATGGAAGGAAAAGACCATAATAATAGCAAACCAATAAAATAACAAAATACAAAAAACATTTGTTACATTTCCTTTTGTCTCTCCTCTTTCCTCTCAGATGTGTGGGAAAATCCTCATTTGTATTTTTCTTTCACATTGAAGAGCTGAATCCATCTTGCACTTTTTGGTCCCTCAAAATCATAAGATCACTATTTACAAAAATCTAAGCCTATTATTAATGACACTGATACATCACTCCCAGCCCTCCCTCCTACGAACCAAAAATTCAAATTGTTCAAACCAAGGGACGTGTTTTTAATGAAACTGAGTGTGGTTTGGTCTTTCAGCAAGCTGTCTTCCAGAGACAGACTATCCAACAAGGGAAGACGGCCATCCACAAATGTTCCTATGAATTCTGAGACCTCAGCAGTCATATGCTAGAAACATGAAAAGAATTACTTTTCTGTCTCAAGTTAAGGAATATCTTTCCTTGCCAAAACCAAGGTGGGGGGCAGGGCAGCTGGGCAGGCTTGTAATTTCCTCATACCTGGCAGGAAGCAACTGGCTGCTTTGCAGCTTTGGACTTGGGACAATTTGAAAGACATTCCCCAGACTCGACTTCATCCTTGGCACAGACAGGTGCCCAAGCCTCAGAACCCACCAAACTCGGCCCACAGGGTTGAAACCATCCTGAGCACACAAATGAAAGAGGTTTGGGAAAGGGAAGAGCAGGAGCAAAATGCCTGTGCACCAAATACACCCTTTCCTTCCCCTCAGCTGTTCAATGAGAACAACCCCTTCCCACAGCTAACTGCCTTTGAGTTCAAGGCCATAGGTTTTACCATAAGGTAGCCCTCTTAAAATCCACTGGCCAAAGGGGCACCTGTTCAGTGTCCAACTCTTGATTTCAGATCAGTTCACCATCTCCCAGCTCATGAGTTTGAGCGCCATGTCAGGCTCTGCACTGACAGCATGGAGCCTGCTTAGGATTCTCTCTCCCCCCACCCCCCTCTGCCCCTCCCCCACTCACACAGGCTCTCAAGCAAACTTTAAAAAAAAAAAATCCACTGGCTAAGACTAAGCTAGATTGCATGTATCAGCTTCCTTCTGGAAAAACTACTCTTTCCTCATCTAACAGAACTCACCCCCCCCCCACTTGTGATAACCTGTCAGGCCTGCTCAGTTTTCTACCACTTTGCCAGGTGTCTCTGCTAGACCATCCCATCTCTGCCTATGACACAGATGTCCCAGGTAAAGCATCTCTGAGCACCTAGAGGACAGCCCAGTCGTAAGGATAGCTTCCTGGGGAACCGAGAGGCGCAAGTCCCAGCTCCAGCATGCCTGGATGAGCTCCTGGTCCTTCTGAGTTTCCTTACTGGTGGAATGTGGACATTAATATCTCTAACAGATGTGGTGTGGCTCAAATGATACAGGATGAAATACTCTGTACACTATAAACTTTTCTGGTGGTTCTTATTTAGCAGCTAAACATTTTCAAGGACTGGCTTGTCACTCCTTCAGAAAGCAGCTAATTCTGTCACTGGACTGCCCTTTGGCTAGAGTCTTAGACTCTGCACTCACGTCTGGCCCTTTGTAACTCCTGCCTGCTAACCTTGGACCACCATCCCTGCTACGGAACAGTTCTTCATTCAGCTCAAGACATCTACCAGATGTGCCTCTGGTCTCCCCTAACTACCACCGTATGGTGTTTCCCACCAGTCCCTGGCTGCCAGGGCTATGGTCCTCCTCACCTCTCTGGCTGCCCTCTTCCGGATGATCATTGTTTTATGGGCACCACCACACACCGGGAGGCCTTCACAACAGACCTACACACACACACACACACACACACACACA